TCAATATTGTTTATCATGAAGGAGGCCATTTCTACTTTGAGTTTGTTGGAGGTGGCGAGATTTTTCCCTTGAAGATTTAAGTCTATCATATACTGAGGACTTGATGCAAATGATTCAGGTGTGGCTGTCAGTGCAAGGGGCAGGACACAGCCCAACTTGCCTCTTCCAGAAAGTTTTTGTTGCTCACTCCCTGGCTCATTTTGTGCTCCCTATGCGATCTTATGCTTATTAGCTATGTGACTCTAGACATGTCACTTAACCTCTCGGTCCCTTAGGTTTCACAGCTGCAAAATAAGGAAAATAACACTACTTATAGAATGGTAAAAACATTGGATGAATGTGTTTGTGTGTGTGTGTAAGCACTTCAAACAGTACCTGGCACATAGTAAACATTATATGAATGTTATGATTATGGTTATGATTACTATGATGATTATTAATATATTATTAATATATTTAAATATTTAATTTATAGACTTTTATTCTTATGTTACTTTGTAACAGACTTTATCTCATGCACATAGATTTAGTTTCTCCAATTAAATCTTAAGTACAAGGACTATGTACAGTTTCCAAGTTGCAGCGTTTACTGTTTTCTGAACATAGTATTCGTTCATTAACTCATTCAGCAAGTATTTATTGGGTTTATACTTTGTGCTAGGCACATCATATCTTTTGAAGGAACTAAGGATCTCAAAAATAAAAATATAGCATGAATGCCAAAACAGATACAAATATACACTCATACAGATGAGAAAAGCACTCACAGATCTATTACACAGAGATGCAGAGAGAAATAACCACATGTGTATGCCGTGTGGGTATATTTATATGCTCATACACAAGAACAAAGGTACGAATGGAGACCACAGAGAAGACTGACTCTCAAAATTTACTATTTCACATCCCACATGCATGAAAGCATAAGCAGTGGATTTTAAATGAGGAGCTAAGACTACATAATATGGAATCAGGAAACAGACAGAAGTGGTCAAAGTTTTCATCCCCTCATGACTATCTCAGTCTTTAAAGATGGAATTCGGTAACTTCAACATCTGCAATTCCTTTACCCGACATTGTACTGAGCATTTCAGTAAATGTTTCATGTGCTTTGAATGGATTCATAAGAGTTGCATTGGCACTAAACAGGTAGGAAGAAATAGAAGGTAAGAGGGAGATAGATTACTGTTTGAGTAATATCTGGGCTGTCAATACCATGCCTTGTGTGAACAAGGCAATGAGGAAACAAAATGCTTCTTATTCATCCATCCATCATCCACCCAACACATATATTGCTCAAGGTGCAAAGATGAAGACAATGTCCCCAACTCCAAGGAGATCATAATCTAGCTTTTTCCCTTTCCTCCTGTTCTATCATATATCCCATACCCTACCACGCCACCTGCTAACAAAGAACTGGGAGAAGAGTTGCTTGGGAAACCTGAGACATCTAAGAACATGTACCTCTCACTATCATGAATTCGCTGGTAAGATTTTTTTTTTTTTTTATAAAAGTGGGATGGAATGCCTTATGAAAAACACAAGCTAGATCAAGTTTCATAATGTCAGCCAATGATGACCCATTCCTGAATGTAAGACACCCACACCCTCTGCCTTCTCAGTAACAAAAGATTTGGTTATCACACGGGGCATTAGATAAATACAGACCAAGCTTGAGGTTGAGAGTAAGCCATGTGTAGGACTATGGCTGTTTGGCAGGCATTGCTACTCTTTGATCATTTCCAGACCCTCCCAAAGGGGAGATCTAAACCAAATGAATTTCCCCTCATCAGTTGCTTTTGTGTTGCCCAAGCGTTCCAGGAAACCTGAACATCAGTGTGATTAAAAGTGGTGCTGAGATTTCAATCCTGGGAAGCTGTTTCCTTTCCCTTTCTGGCCCTGAGGGGGAGCTGCCCTCCTACTTGCTGCTGTCAAGTAATTTCAAAACATAGCCCCCATCAAATTTCTTCCTTGTTCTAGAACTTATGGCTTCTTTACGCCAGTTACATTAATTCTAAACTTTTATGATTATTTCTTAAGCCCCCCCCCTGAAATGCCATCCCCACCCCACATGTCCCACCTTACTCTCCACCAAACCCCAATCCCAGTTTCCACTTCAGGTAAGCCAGCAGCTATGCCCACTCTGACTTTGGCGCATGCCCACCTGGGATCCTTCCTTATCCAAGCCACGCCCCTTTCTTCTGGGAAACTCTGCCTCTCAAATAAACCTTTCTCTTCCATGAGTCTTTACACTAATTATCTAAATTATACCATTAGCCTCATTTTAAATGGAGTCCATCTCCAACACTACAGCACAAATTGCTTCTGTAATACAACTTGATCAGAGTGTGTGTGTGTACACACAGATATGTGCCCTGTCTCTAGGAGGCTGGAAACCCTATGAGTCCAGATCTCATCCCAGAAACACTGCTGGGTTCATAGGAGGACCTAAATACATATTAGTTAAGAGTGAGATAATATCTCTTATCTGAGGATAATATCAAACTCTTACCTGATGATAACACTCTTCCTCTTTGTTTTAAGCTATATATATTTTTTTTTTCTGCTGCTCTTCCTCCTTCCATGGTGTTATCATTTATTCAACAACTATTAATTGTGCACCTCTTGTGTGTCTAAAAATAGGGAAATCACAGCAAACAAGACAGAGATGGTCCCTGCTTACCAGCTACTGGAGTCTGCAGCTTTGACTACAGCTAGAAAAAGCAAGCTCATTCCTTGAATGCAGGCAGCCATTTACTCTCCCTCTGTGGGAGTCCAACAAGAGAGCAACTGAGCTCCATGGCAAGTGCTAGGGCTCCAATATATTGGAAGGCACTAAAGGGATATAAACAAAACCACTACATACTAAGTTAATTATAAAGTGTCCTTCACTGGCTTCTACTAAGACTCTACTGAACAAAAAAAAAAAAAAAAAATTTTAAGCCTCTGTTGCATGAGACTGGTTTTGAATTAGAGATTCAGATGTCACCTAGCCTGTTTCACTATTGGGTGTTTTTGAAGTGCTTTATAGGACAGGATGATTTCTATTCACTTATATGTGTTCAGACAGATGCCTCATAGCTTCCATGATATAAATTTGCCAAAAATTAATTTCTCATTAAAAAAAGGAATAAAAATTAAGTTTACTAAAAAATGATAACACATGTCACCAAATATTTAGATAAACAATTTATAACATTCATTCACACATATATTTATGGTGCTGTCATCATAGCAATTATGACACCAGTAAGTATAGCTAAAATAAAAGGTTTGTTTGATCATGTTAAACTTTCTGCAAGGCGCATTTGCAAAATGGGATACTAGCCATTTATGACTAAATGTCTGGACTCAATATTAAGAGGATAAATGGTATATTGGGAAACTATCTCCTAGAAATATACTCCAAACTATTAGCTATTTAAGTCCACAAAATTAACCATCCAACTAATCAAAAAATAAATTAAAATATAAAAATAATTAATAAAAGTAAGGGCTTCAAACTTCAGTTAAAATTTTAAAAAATCTTTTATCAAAGCTGAAATGGAAATTATATGACTGTCAATAATGAAACCCCTTCAGCCTCAGGAATGCACTGTTATCAAGGTTCCTAAGCTTTCTGAGAAAGTAACATAATAACTGGAACAGATCAGAAAATTCTTGGGCTGTTAAACTCCATTACTGAGTTTCAGCAGAAACAAAGTAAAGGAAAGACCCTTGTATAGTCACACATGGCAATAGTAGAAATAATCTATAAATCATGCATATTTTCATGGCAACAATGATGGCTCATGGCTTCCATAATCAGCAACCACTAGAGTGACTGATCTCACATATTGGAGCAATTCTGCCCTTCCATTCCTTACAAGTCAGGAATGATCTATACAAATGTGATGGATCAGATATCCAAACACATGCCACACTTCATACTATGTAAAGTAAATGTAAAACATGGAGCTAATTAGGACAAAAATACCATTTAACTCTTTTACAGTTCCAATCATGTAAATAATTATTACTCAAGCTAGATTATTACCATTGCAAGGGCACTTTCTGTATATGTAACATATTTACCCTGATCCAAACCCAGTAACTTAGTTGTTTTTAATGTAATTCACAATAAATACATTTTATATCATGATCTATTACAAAAGTATCTATAAATATATACTTACGTACATACAACTGAAACCAAATTTTCACAAAAGAATATACTATACTATTTTGTGATGTACTTCACTGTCTATTTAGGTCTAATCTAGAATCTTTAATTTAAAAAATGTTGGTCTGACCCACTGAATTGGTTTATTGACCTATTAGTGGATAATCGTGCACAATTTACGCTGCTCAAAACAACCTAATTTGATTGCTTTGCCCTTTCTACAACTTCACATACTACTTAGATTTTTTTTCCTCCTCATTTCAGTGGCTTTAAAGACAGTTTCTAACGAAATAAAAAAATTAGGGTAAGCATCAAACATTAGAGAGTGATGGGTGACTATTTCATCTTTGAGGTCCCACTCCCAGAACTGCAGGTTCTAGGCACATACTGGTACCTTGATAAATTTTGTTGGATTTGAGAATAAATAAAAAGGTATTTTTGGTGTTTCTTTAGAGTCATAGCAAAGGGATAATACCTTTCACCTGAGAAAAACACAGCCTACTCAAGGCGGCTTTGTGGCCAGGACTAGAAAGGTGAAGGTGGGTGTGGAATCAAGTCTAGGCCGCCAGCCCACTTGGACAGTCTCCAGGGCACCGTGCTGAACCCCTACATCACAACTCAGCAGAAACCTGGGGGTAGATCTCTATTTACCTGCCTGGGGTTAATGTCCAGAGAAGGTGGAGCCAATCCAGTAACCCTCTTCTCAATTCTCCTCACAAAAACCCATGAAAGCAAAGGCAAAGGTGGAAAACCTCAGAGCACCGTAGGCTAGGGACGCTCCTAACGGACTTTGCAAGGCCTAGCGTGCTGGGGCTGCAGGAGATGGCCGGCGACTCACCCTGGGGCCGGACTTGCGCGGGGGCAGCGACCCTCAGCAGCTGCCTGTGCAGGGACAGAAACTCTGGACAAGGCCTGCGCGGGAACAGAGACCCTTGGCGTCGTCCTGCGTGGGGGCAGAAACGGGTCAGGGCCTGCGTGGGGACAGAGACCCTCAGCCTCAGCCTGCGCGGGTTCAGAAATCCGGGGCAGGGCCTGCGCGGGGACAGGGGCCCGGCCTTGCCCTCCGCGGCGCCTCCTTGGCGGCGTGGTAGGCCCACGGCGCACACTCCGCACCTCTCTCCCGGTCGGCGCCCAGGCCGCGAGCAGGCGGGCGGCGCAGCGGTGCACGCCGGGACGGGCTCGAGGCCAGGGGCAGCCCCCGCGTCGCTCGTGATGACGACAGCCTCTTTCACGGTTCCCTCTCCGTGTCGGGCACTGGGCCTGGGCCGCACTCAGTGGTCACGTTGACCTTGCGGCAAGGGCATCACGTCCGGTTCAGACGGGCTAAGTTACCCACCCAAGACACACAGTTAGGACGCGGCACAACCGGGCTTTAACCTAGGCCTTTCATGATTCCAATCCCGCAGCCGCTCACAATCTCTTCAGAGGAGAGAATTCTGTCACTGGCCTACAGACTGTCGACAACTTCCAGGGGTAGGGCTAGGAAGGGGAAGCTGTTCTAGAATAATTCTACAAACATCCGTGTATTCTCTCCGCAGGCAAGCCCAGGTCTGCAGGTCTGTAGCAGTCCCTCATTACAAGGTTGAATTAACAGAGATGGATAAACAGAAGACAGATAAAATGGGGCAATGAAAAAACTCTCTAGCAAAAGAGAGGGGGAGAATTATTTTCTGAATATTTGATTAAAATACAAATCTATGAAAACCATGTATAGAGGAGATAGTATAGTGTAGTAGTTAGGAAAACAGGCCTTCGAGTCAGACAGCCCAGGATTTAAACTCTGGATTTAATACCTGACTCTAATTTACTAACTTTGGGATATGTGGCCTAAGGCTTTTTAATAGCCCTTTAAAATGCTCATTTCCTTATGAGTAAAATGAGGATAATCATTCCTCCTTGCAGGGTGTCGTGAGGATTGAGAATGTCTATAAAGTATTTAGCACAATATCTGGTAAAATTAAGCACTCAGGAAATGATAGCTATTTTTACTATTTACAATGAGAGTGCACAAAAATTTTAGAAAATATCTATGTTCTCAATAATAAGCAAATTAATTATTAAGTCTTCATAAGTATTACTATGTCACCATGAAAGAAAAACAAAAAGGCATTAAGGAGAGCTGAGGATGAGACAAAAAGACAAGGAGTTGGGATATATGTTCATATTAAAATGTGAATGGAGATGGCTGAAAGGAGACTGCAAGGAAATGGAAAATAATAGATTTAAAACCTACTTTGGAGGTGATGATGAGTTGAGTTGACACTAGAGAAGATCAAATTAGGTATAAAGAAGTAGAGTTCAGATATTCTCCTGGGACACTCAGGAGAATGAACAAAGAGATGAAAGTGGTAAGAGATAAGCATGGAGATTAGAAAGCAGAAACTCAATGTTCAAATACTGACTTAAAGAACTATAAATAATAATAATATTGAAAGATGACAAAATGATTTAGCAAAAAATATATGGGATGGTATATAAAAGACTCATTATATTCTGGACAAGAATACTGACCACATCTAGATAAAACGTCAGGAAATTTTTGTACTTCAAGGACAAGAAATTATTGTGGAAGCACCCTTCAGAAAAGCACAGTTAAGTTAAAATAATCAAAAGGATCTAGTCTTAGCCTTCTCCTTAGCTTAGAACAGCTAAGGCCAGAACAATGTAGCAAAAGGGCAACTGTTTAAGAAAAATCAGGACACAAAAATTATTCTCAAATTGTCATTCAGGTTAATATAAGGAATAGCAAACAAAAGACATACTCTGATATACAGTCTCAGAAAATATATCCCTTTTCCTAGCAAAGTTGCTGAGAAGCATCAATGACCCAGCCATCCTTCCTGGAAACATTACCAAGAAGGGAACCAAAATTAAAATTAGTTCATTAGACACATCATGAAATTGAGTTAAGACTAAATAAATAGAATGGTGATAACAAAATAGAGTGTAAAATCAAAAATAAAATTTGAAGAGAAGAAATATAATGTAAAAATTTATTACACATAGCAATTTGGTTTATGAATTTAGATGAAATTAACAATGGCCAGAAAGCTAGACAGGGCAGGAAAAGGAAAGCGAACTAAATCTTGCATGTAATGGAATCTGCACTTAAGGCATAAGTCTTGGCTTTGATAACTAGCAAAAGGAATTTTCAAGCATGTTTTTTGAAAAGCATAGAAAGATTATAATGATTTGTATAGTTTAAAACAGTAGGTATCTTTTCCAAATAACTACAAGAGACGATAAATACAGATTACTAACAATCTATATGCAAACCAAAAGAAAATAAACACCAAGAAAGAATACAATAAAATAGCAAACATGTAATTTATAAGAAAAATCATTTAAAAGGTTAAACCTATGTATATTTCAATAAAAAGGAAAGAGAGACAAAAGCTTTTTGTGTTTATGATATAAAATTCATTTATTATCTGCAGCATATAAATAATCAGACCAAATAAATTATACCAAAAGGTTTAGATTAAAAGTCACATTTTATAGTGGAATCTCAAAGCCTTGCCTTGTATTAACCCAATGCACTTCTCTCTAGATACTGCAGTGTTTTTTGTTTTTGTTTTTCACCAGCTGATTCATGACTCAAGTAGCATATCCAGGGTGGACGATACAGACTGCGTAAGAGTTCTAGTGTCATCTGTTCTACATATCACTACTCGAAATGGTATGCTGCTGTGTTTGTGAATCCAGCCTCCCACAGTGGATATGTCACCATTGACCTATAACAATTGGAATGACACATCTTCACTGGAGGTAGGACTTTGCCATCCTTCACAGCAGACTATTAAAGAACAAAATAAGCAGTACTGTTTATTTTTTTACAATGCTGTTAAAAGAAATGCCTCTCATGGAATTCTGGTGGCTGCTTCTTTCTCCCTGCCAATCCATCCAGGAAGTGCTGTTTAGATCTTTTTCCAAATCCCCAACTGAAGGCGTGCCGACAAGCTTTTTTACATATACAGACCTTTCAGAGACTTGGGCTATTTGTGATTACTCCCAAATGTTACTCTGATTCCATTATCAATTTGTTATAAAACTCACCTATATAGTGGGAAAGCTGTTGCCAGTTAAAAGTGACATGCAATTGAGAGCACATATGCCATATTCAAACAAAGAATGCTGTGTGACAACAAAAATGACATACTTCTCAACAATCTAGTGAGTCAGAGACACCTTTTCAATGTGAAGAAAAATATCAAAATCAGAAAAAATATTAATACATTAACTGCTGTGTGAGTTGTATTTAACTCACACTAGTTTTGAACCTGGGGCCTCAGGAAGCATATGTAACTAGTACATTGGGACCCATGAGAATTATTTTTCAAGTTGCATATAACTTATGCACAGAAAACAATAAAAAGTAACACATTTTTCATTAAATTAGAAAGGATCATTTTATTTTTGAAGTTTTGATTCTATTTTCATGATAAAACACTGTGGCCCCAAGGAAATTTTATTTTTTCTGGTGTGGCAGTCAATGTGTTAAAAGACAATTCACAGAAAAATTGACAGTCAAAAATTCAATTCTGTTTTCCATAAGTAAAGTATACTACTCTTTTATGTTTCACAGAAAAACAAATAAACAAAAATACTCATAGATTTGCAGATAGAAAATATATGTGAAAATATATATTGTGAAAATATATCAGAGAACTGTACTTCAAAAAAAAGTAAAAGTCCTGAAAAGGAGAAACACAAGCAATTCAGGGTAAGTGCAAACATGTATTTCACTCAATGCAATAAGTAACTGGACTACAGTTTGGTCCAACTACTTGGTAAAGTTCAGTAAACTGCAAACTTAGAAAGGGATCACTGTGTGCTTGTCCTGTATCTATATCTATCTGTATACACACACACTAGTGAGCTTTGCAATTAGAGATACATGGAATTAATTAACTGTAAAGGTTCTCATCTGAGTTCAGCTCACCTTCCTTGGAATAATCAGAAAAGCTTAGAATTGGTTTGTTAGTCTGATATATGACAATACAGTCAGAAAACGCATTTTATCAACTCCAATTTTCAAACTGGTATTTTAATTAAGACAACTTATGCTGTCATAAATGACAATCATGACTAATTAAAGTTCAAAATTTAGGCCAGGATTCCAAACATCTGGGCAGCCCACGTCTGCCAAATGCAGCCCTAGTGGGTTGTGTTGAGGAAGAGATGGGAGGAACAGCAGCAGGTCAAGTCAGTGCCCCAGGAGACGCTTGTTGACTGGAACATCACCTTCAATAGTCACGTTAAAATTATTTTTGACTTGGATGGCACTGTTTTCAGCCTATTTCAAAGGTGCCACCCAACATTCCAGTATTATTTGTGTACAGAGAACACAAATAAATTGGAAACAACTGTCCTGTGGTTTCTACCTCCTCCTAACACTGCACATTTGGATCCAACTAAAATTGCTGTCCCAGAAGTCACCAACAACTTCCTAATGGTCAAACTGTCAAACAGCTTCTTCTCAGATTTCATCCTACCGTCCCTCTCACAGACACTAAGCCTCACATACATTTTCCTTCTCAAAGCCCTATCTGACCTCCCTTAGTTTCCTCATATTATTTCTTGTTCTCCTGTCTCTCCTTTCTTTCCCTTTTCACCTTCTTCTCTCCAGGCCTTGTCTCCACTTCTCTCTCTCCACAGTCAGGGCTATCATACCTTCCTCTATGATTTTCATAATTCCTGTACACAAACGAATCCCTTATTTGGTCTAACACTGTCCTTCTAATTATCAACAGAGGATTTTTAACTGTGCTCTACATCACCATGTGCTGATGACAGTGGCTACAGTCACTCGAGTGAAAACAGAACTGTCTTCCTCACAAGACTTTCTGCTTCCTTATTTTAGTGGAACAACACAAGCAGCATCTCAGCCATGACAGTGAAACAATGTCTTCTTATTTCAGGTTGATCCTGTCCTTCCTTTTAATTTTTTTCCAGTTATACTTGCACATTTTATTTAAAGACTCAAAGTCTTTCAGTTCTAGAATCTTTTTCTTGAATTTCTGTAGTACTTTCTCTTTTCTAGTTGTTTTCTCTTTCTGGTACTTCTGGTACTTCTCTCACCTATTTTCTAATTTCTTTATCCTATTGCTATACTTCCTAGATTTCCTCAATTTAATTTTACTATATTTCTGTTGTGTTTTTTCACTTTTGCTATATTCATTTATAAGGTTTTTTTTCCCTTCTGCTATTTTTATACAGTATTATCTATAATCTCTTATCTCTGAGGATATTGAGAGAGAGATTAACTTTCTCCTTGTCTAATCCGTCTCATGTTTTTGTTTCAGCCTCTGCCTTTCCCCAAATGCCTGATGATCCTTGGCTGTTCACTCACGTGTGAGAATGGAGCACTTAAATGCCAGTTAGCTCTATGTACATGGTGATGTTTGCAACTGTGGGCTTCATAGTAGACTAATTTAGCTGAGTAATTTCTTTGGTGAACCCCCAATGTCAGTATCTTTTAGATCTTTTCTCTTGGGTTTGTTGGATGCCTCAGAAAAGTCTCTTCCAGTCTCCTGCCTGGAGTTAGAAGTGCTTTGAATATAGAGTTGGGGAGGATGGTGGTTCTCAGCATTCAGTGTGTAAATGTCTAAATAATCCCATTTTCAGGGTATTACTCTTATCCTCAGCTGTGTATGGTGCTCCCTAGTCCAAAAACTCTCTGTTTCACTCACTCTGGGAAATAAACCTCTAATCTACGAGAGTAGAGGGAGCAGTGGTTAGCTTACATAGATTGGGGCAAGGGATCTAGAGGTAATTGTTTCTTGAATAGACTTTCCACTAACCATCCCTTGGTACAGTGTGGCACTCAATACTACAACCTGCTGAGCATTCTGGAGAATCCACCTTATACCTCAGGCTGCTTCTCAGCTTTCCCTATACCAGGTAAGAACTTAACTGCTCCTGGGTCTCCTCTGTCAATTATCACTCATCTGTATACCTTTGAGCTCCCAAAATCGTGTGTCTTGTTGATCCTGATTTTGGCCCCTTCACCATTGTGTTAGTGGGTGTCTGAAGGGGGAGAAAGCCTATGTGGGAATCTAGCCAGAAGGCCTGGATCCCTCCTTCCCATTCCCATTGCCCTTGCCTTCAGTGGGACTTCTGCAACAGAATCTTTCCAGTCTTTTTGCTTGTCCATCTAGCTGATACATTGCTACTGAAGTAACTTTCTTCTAACACAAAAGCAGTCATTTACTCAAAAATTGCATCAGCTCTCCACTGCTTATAGAATAGTCAATATTCTCTAGCACAGAACCCTTGGATGATCTGACCCTAATATACTTTTCGAGTATAACTTGTCACACAATCCCCACACATAACCAAAGCTGCAATGATTTTAGTTTTAATAGTGTACATCCATCACCTTCTGTCTTAAAGACGGAATAAATTAAGAAGCAGGAGTATGAGAGGATATTGGAACCCAACTACCTGAATTTATTCCCTCAGCTCTGCCACTTTACCAAGCCGGTTAATCTTGGGCAAGTACTTCATCTCCACATCTGTAAAATAGAAATCATAATAGTATCTACCTTCTAACACTACTGTAAGGCTTAGAAGAGCACTTATAACAATGGCTGACATATATGAAGGGAAATATAAGTGTTAATGATTATAATTCTCTGCACATCTGTCTCCCCCAGTGGATTATCAAGTCCTTAGGATGGGAAGACCCATTTATTCAACATTTGTGGTGTGTCTAAGACAGATAGGATACTATCCACTGGGGACAACGTAAAAAGAGGTTGACAAATGGAAAGACTGCTGACTAATGATTCAAATACATGACAAATACATGACAGGGAAGAGCCAAGAACAAAGAATACAGAGCATGTAAAATCTAATGGTGCAGAACAAATGGCGGAAGGCTTCAGAGCTCACGCTTAGGATGGGGCAGGAGGAATGATTATGTAAGGGAAAGGGTTGTGCTGCTAAGAACAGGGGATGGGGAGAACCACAGGTGAGACTGGAGAAGCAGGTTGGGGCTAATTGCACAAGATCCTGCATAACCTGTTCAGGCTATACTTTACTGTTCAACCAGTGTTTGTCAATCTCACCGTCTGGGTGTGCCACAGAGAATTCTGAGTAAAAAGTAATGTTACTAATAATAGCTGAAATGCAGCTACTTGACATTTTAAAAATAAATTAGAACACACTCCCAAATAATGTTAAACAAAAGAATATATAATCTATGACTCTATTTATATGAAAGACAATGCCAGGCAAAGATAATCTCTGTTGTCTCAATCCAGGATACAGTTACCTTTAGGTGTAAACAGTGACTGAAAAGGGATCCAAGGGGAACTTCTGTGACATGCATGTTGTTTCTTGAGCTAGGGTACTGGCTTCACAGGTGTGCTGTGAAAATTCAACAAGCTGGATATTTATATGTGCATTTTAATATATATTTTGCGCTTTAAAAGAAATAAATTAGATTCATGACAGTGTGCACACTTGGAGTTCCATATGCTTTTACTGGGAGAAGGGGTGGGATCAGAGACTGCTTTCAGGGGTACACTGGGAACTCACTGTGCAGACAAATTATCACAGTTTCATGTAGAGATTCTGAAATACCAACACTTAGCATACTTGTAAGATTGCTTTTCCCTCATTTTACATCTAACAAGGGGCTGATGGGTCCTTTTTAATCTTAGAGACACAAATCAACACAAATCAAAAACACATCTGCATAAGCATGAGTTATAATGTATTCAACATTCATGTACCCTTAGGAACACAGTCATTTTTTTTCTTTTCTCAGAAAGTTATTTTCATTACAAACTAGTCATGCAGCATTTGACAGGGACATGTTCTGAGAAGTGCTTTGTTAGGCAATTTCATTGTTATGTGAACATCATGGAGTACTTAATAAACTTAGCATAGCCCACTACACACCTAGGCTATATATGGTATGGCCCAGGGGTGGGGATCCTTTTCATGTTGGAAAGCCATATTAATTTAGCTATAACAAAATAAGACCACATTCAAGAAACTCTAATTAGACATATGTAAAAATGTACATTGTTTTGTAAAAATCTAACTACTATGTATTTAATAATTTCAAAAATGAAAACTATTTTAATGTTAAATTAACCTTTTAATGACTGTTATGTCTGGTTTTTGTTAGAGAACATTGAATAGTTGGTTGCAGCATGGAGGTCCACAGTTTCAGTTGATCCTCTAGATGGGTATCAGTCATTTGTGACCTTAAGGGTGTCTTGATTTGGGTTAGGTAGGAGAATGTAGATTTACAGCAATAAGTGGTTGAAAAGCAAGAAAGGATTTTTGGGGCATGTTGCCAAAGGTATGAGTATTCTACTGCATTTTTCCATATTTCAATTGGACCTTCAGTTTTAACATCAAGCAATGACTTTAAAATGTCATTTACTGAGAGCTCAATCAATCAATTTTACCTGTGGTTCTTTAGGTGCCTTGGTGATATCAACTAGGTGAAACTGAAATGCTAATTTGAGTATGATGTCATGATTCTCAAAGTCAGTGAAGCTTTCGTTGTATTCTCCAATTAACTGTTCTGTAACAGCTGTGTAGTCTTCAAATGATTTGCATGTATCATCTTGCTCATCAATGTCCTTTGCTAATTGGGGAAAATGTTCATCCGAAATTTCCTTTTGAAGTATTTTGAAAAGACAACTTTCTTCAAAATGCCTGGGTTTTTTGCCACATATTATATATAGACTTAGTTTTACCTTGCAAAGAAAGTCAAGTCATTTTGATTTAATGTGATATTCCACAGAAATGCTGCATTCCTATAGAAATCTTCTTTCAATAATTCACATTGCTGATTCTGTTCTTCATAAAATTTAACCATCTGTTCTCACAGAGATAACATTTTGGCTAACACCTGTCCCTGTGATAGCCAACACACTTTAGAGTGAATAGGGCAAATCCACACTGTATTCTTTAGCATGTTACAAAACTGACAATGCCACCTTGCATTTGCATGAATATAGTTAACAATACTTACAACTTGTTGCAAAGTGTCACTTAAAGTAGTAGCTTTAGCACAGAGATTTTGCTGATGCAAGATACAATGAAATGAAAGCATCTGGATCTGTTAATAATTTTTTATCTGGGCAATAAACCTTTCACGTTTTCCTTTCATGGAATATCCACTGTATGTACATACACTCAACTGAATTTACCAAATTCAGTCCAACTTCACTAAATTTATCTTGAAAGTTGTTGAAGATATCTATTCCTCATGTTCTGTTCCCAAGAGTGCCCAAAGTAACTCTTTCTAGCAAAGAGAATCTTCTGTTATAACCCAAATGAAGCATAAAGCCTGTGCCAAGTCAGTAGTATCAGTTGATTCACCCAAAGCAATCGAATGATACACATTTTCCTTTTGAAGCATTCATTGCATGAAGTTGTTAAGTTGAAGGCTAATTGATGCTGTTGATCAGTTATGGTTTTCCTTGAAAGAGGCAGTTGTTTGTATTTTGAAATGTTATTGGCATCTAAGTATCCTACAACTTTGACAATGCATTCTTTCACAATTTCTACATCACTGAATGGCATCCCTCTCCCCCTAATATACGTATATAAGCTACTTTATAAGTTGCTTCAGCAGCATTAGTTCCACGTCTTGTTGCTGCTTGAAAGAATTGTCTTTACTTTTTCTTTAAATCTTTTAATTTCTGCAATACAAACTTTCATACCTCTCCCACTAGTTTAAAATATTTATGGTCCTTATGAGTATTATAATGTTGATGAGCACTGAACTTCTTTAAAGTTGATGTTGCAGTATCACAAAACAGCAAATCATCTTATCTTTAGAAGAAGCAAGATAATATTGTGATTCCCAATCCTCATTAAAAAATCTTTTTCTTCCTTCAGCATTCTCTTGGTCTTCTTTGACATGATGGGCTGTTAGGCAGACCATTAAAAAATACTGTTGAGCTGTGCATCTATTCACAAATTCCACTTACAGTGCACCATTGTCAAAAGCCGGCACACATGACCCCCATAAACTCTCACTAACCAGACTCATGCAGTAGTGGTGCCAGTCAGACGGGGGAAGTTAGAACTAAATTGTGAGCATAGCAGCCATCAATTTAGCCTTTATGGCTTACTAATGTTCTAATTGCGCCAGTCAATTTGGGAAGATTATTTCATTGAAACTTATTTTATTCATTGGTATTTTAAATCTGTTCATTTTAAAAATATAAAAGATGAACAAAAATGTATTCATAAAAATAAAAGGATTTATTCCATAAAATCTGTATTCAGCCAAAAGGCCACACTTAAGGACCTAGAGAACCACATGTGGCCCTAAGGCCACAGGTTTCCCTGCACCCTGGTATGGCCTATTGCTCCTAAGCTACTGTACAGCATGTTACTGTACTTAATGCTGAAGGTAACTGTAACACAATGGTAAGTATTTGTGTATCTAAACATACCTAAAACCAGAAAAGGTATGCTATTATAATCTTATACCACTGTGGTATATGTGGTCCATCATTGACTAAAATGTCCTTACGCAGTGCATGACTATATGCACCTGGCTAAAAAGAGTTCAAAAAAGATATGAGAGGTCAAGTCTAATTTGGACTTGTCTCTCAAGGCAACCATTATGACTTTAAATAAAAGCATACATAAATATATGAGTGTG